TTCGACCAGGATCTCCACCGTGGTAATGTTGGCAAGAGCTGCGAAGGCCGAGTTGACAGTGACACCTTCAGCCCGACACCGTTTGATGAAGGAGGCTGTGCTGTCTGGATCCAGTTCTTTCGTCAACGTTAGAGTTTTTGCCACGACGTCTCCCACTCCTTTATAAGTCGATTTCACAAGAGAGCGTATACTCTGGCACGCGCGAACCTCTTCCTTTGTCTTCAGCATCAGGTCAGGGTTAGCCTCCAGGAAGTCTAATTGTTCCTGTATCAGTTTCTGCGTCTTTTCATCCGACACGAACACTCCAAGCTGTTCCTTATCATCAATAGGTTTTCCAGCGATCACAGCATCAAGAAGCTGAACAAAGAAACCGCAAGTCTTCATGTTGGAAGTCCCATCCGATATGCTGTGATTAACAACCAGAAACAGTGTACAGACGTTAGGGAACTCTGACACATTGAATTCTGCTACTCCGGGCAAGAGTCTGGCGCACCACAAAGGGCCCTTGTCGTTGTTAAGGCTAATGTTGTGCATTGAGTGGTGTATTTCATCATCTATTGTAGCATCTGAGATCACCTGCAAACAAACAAACAGACAAAAAAGGGCAATTGAGATAAATATAACATTAAAGAATAGGAGAATCCATCAACACCCAAAAGAACATTAAACTACGGTACGCATATTCAGGATATTAAACGATATAGTAGATCCTGACGATAAATACCACATGCATTGCAAATTGAGAGCTAGGGTTAACCACAGTGAGAGACTCACGTGAGCGACCTACCTATTTCTCATTCGAATCTCACTTTCGAGATCGACTAACGTTAGCTACTGTTTATTCATTCCTTGGCACCGATGCACAATATTACAGAACAACTAGTTATGCAGTAAGGCCAGACTATACTAAATTACCTACAATTCGAAGTTATATCCTCATTGCAAATAAAAATTCAACCACAGAAGGCCTGAATTAATAATGCCTTCCCTCAAAAGACCATAATGATGCCCCAACTTCTATAAAGATTTATACAGAGGAAAATTATTTTAATGATAATGATGATGATAATGATAATGATGAAAATACCGATAATAATTATGGTCCTATCCCTGCCAATAATAAAAGTAATTGTAACTAATTGTAAGCTCGAAGCAAGATCTGGCGAAATATGACTAATTATTATTCGAATTACTTAAGCTACCACAACATTCAGAAATTTTAATGTTATTCTGTCAATTTTCCACTCCTTTTTTCTTTCTTTTTACGAAAAGGGCATACAAGAATCTTACCGCCCTTGAAGGCTTAGACAAAGGAGCATTCGATATGTCGATCTTAGCTGATGTACTAAATAATATAATCATATTTAAATTTCTTATGTAATTTTACAGTATGAACATTAAGGACATCTACCGAATGGACTAGAGCTTGCCACGCCTCTGGGTAGTAAAATAATGGACTAAATGATACACCGTAAAACTAACTTCGAAGTCGATGATCTCCTCTGCCATCTCTCTCATCCACCTCTCGCCATGTCGCTCCCCGTAACACGCGCGCAGAGAGGGGACCTTCCTGGTAAATAATGAAAGGAAGGGGAATAAATAGCTCAGATATATTAATGAAGAATTAAAATCTCCTGTTAGGCTAAATATTAATTAAGAAATGTGATATATGAATGGAAACAAAATACTACAGGTGGATTTCTTCAGAAAGAAATGATCACTCATTTTGAATCAGTGCCAATTAAAATTACTTTAGATACTACTATTTGAAAAATAACTGAACAGTAAGTGGCATTACAGTACCTATAGAGGTGCCTCAGCGCTTGAATAACGTGCTCCTCGAGTAAAGGTTCATGGGTGGACAGTCCAAGTTGGTAGCACGCTGTATGAGGCTCGAAGTAGCTCTCCGTCAAAGTGCTCTTCCATAACCATTTTACTTCACCTGCCATTGTCACCCTTGGGGAGAGAGAAATCTTGAAGAGGTACCAGGAACCGCATCAAAAATGTCTTTTCAACACAGTTTCATTGCAACAGTATAACATCTACATCAAAACTGTCTTTGCAACACACATTCAATTGCATTGGTACAACTTCTACACCAATAATGTATTTGATTACCTGTTATTCATATCACAGTGAGTTGCCTTTATGGAAAATGTAAAACAGAAGAAAGTACATACTTAGAGGGGAAAAAATTAAAGATTACCAGTTCTTATAAAGATACTAACAAGAAAATATACCCATTAGCTCCCAGTTTTAATTTACGAAGTTTTTTTTATGAACTCTTCAACTTTTAAAAAATGTGAACACACACACACACAAACACAAATAGGTACATATACATACATATTACACACACATACACACGCATATATACAGTGTATGTATGTTATATAAATACATATATATATGTATGTGTATATATATATATATATATATATATATATATATATATATATACATTTGTGTGCGTGTATGTGTGTGTGTGTGTGTGTGTGTAAATGTATAGATAGATGTTTAGATTGATATGTATGCATGTATATTATGTATGCATGTGTATACATACATACATATATATATATACATATATATATATATATATATATATATATATATATATATATATATATATATATATATACACATACATGTGTGAGTGTGCAGTCTATATGTATAGTTACACTATCAGTAATTGTTAGAGACTAGCTCACAGGATGCCAAAAAATACACATTCCCCGTGTAAAATGTCAGTCGAAAATTCAGTGAGAGTTTTAACTTGCCTACGTTTGAAAACAAGCTACTCGGGGGAGATGTACTTAAACCTTTTATGCGTTTTCATTTTCAGAATCTATGGATTTTTCATAAAAAAAAGAGTGTTATGAAAGCACACTAGCAGATGCCCAGACCTTATTGAGTAGTTCCAAATATAGCATGCTCTTTTATATCCTTTTAATTTTTTCGTAACAGTTTCCGAGATGGAACACATTCTCATTTACAAATCGTTACCAGTTTAACCATCTTACCCGGTAGTCACAAGCGCCGCTCGTGTTGCTCCAACTATCACCACCCGACCAAGTAAGGCGTTTAACTCTGAACTAAAACGCCTCTAAGGGACATATGACCATGGGATTTTCTTTTATAAATGTTACGTTTAGATTCAAAATTTACTGCTCACCAGGCTATACTAAGTATAACCGAAGAATTGCGGAGTACAACAGGCATGTCCCATAGCCAACCTTGGATAGGCAGTCAAGAGTTGCAACACCGTATACATTGTTGTTGTCTTTTCACTTTGGTAAATTTAGGTTTTAGAAACGTAGGATAATTAGGGAGCACTTTTATGCTAAGTGGATTGTAGTAAAGTGACACTACGCATCTCTTTCATAACACATTAATTCTTTACTGTACTTGGTTTTGTGTTTCGTCGTAATAAGGAGCATCATAAATAAATTGAACGTAACATCTTGGATATATAGCATCAGAATAAACATATTGATATTGATATTGATATTTGCAGCTAATATATCCTTTAACCATATACACTAGAAACAATACAACGCCTGTGGCACCCAAGGTTAGTGAGGAAACCTAACACCCCGAGGCTCGGTATCTTATGAGAAAAAGAGATGAAAGCACGTTTAATATTAGGACCAGAAAGGCAGTGGGAAACCCAGGTCGCTTTAGCACTACTGAAGTAGACCCTCGTTCCGTCTACATAATATTATAAAGGTATAACCACAGGAGTAAGGAGTTTACGAGAAGTGTATGTGAAGTAAATACTCATGTAGCCTAATGAGTAAAGTTAAATTGTAACCTTTAATTACGGTTTATTACACCATTACATATGTATGTACGTGTGTACGATCACACAGAAAATGTAAAAAAAACTACATGCACACATTTTGTGTGTGTGTGTGTGTGTGTGTGTGGTGATGTCAGTGTGAGTAAGTGTGAGTCCGTGTGTGTGTGCGTGTGTGTGTGTGTGTGTGTGTGTGTGTGTGTGTGTGTGTGTGTGTGTGTGTGTGTGTGTGTGTGTGTGTGTGTGTGTGTGTGTGTGTGTGTGTGTGTGTGTGTGTGTGTGCGTGCGTTTGTGTGTGTGTGTAGGCATGTTTTGCAAGCGTATGTGTCTGAAACCTAAGCCCCGCAAGAGCCAGAACTGATCTTATCTCAGAACTGAGATTCCCAGCCATGAAACGATATAACAAAACCATAAAACAAAAAAAAAAAGTACCAAGATATCTCCCAAACAGAATCGCCTTGCTCAGCTAACACTCGTGTCATAACACTTACCTTCTGCGGTAGCACTGTAGCTGACGAGCATAGCAACAGCCTTTCTCTTGTGCCCGTGGGAGAACTAAAATGCTTTAGCTTATAAAAATGGCTGAGTCTGACTTCATACGTTGAGAGAATTGTGTGTTTAGTAAACATGGCTTGAATTAGAATTTCTGAGAGAAAAACACGTGCTTCTCTTCATTTATGTACAAAGCGCTAATCTAACCAATTAGCTAACATCAAATGCAAATTCATTTTTGCATTTGTTATTTTTGTAACCGCTGGCTTACAACTGCATTATATTTTGGTTGTATTACCTAGAATTTTAAATATCTCTTTACATTGCTAGTAATCTACCTTGTTATGTCTACTTATCCTAACATCTAAATCAGCTAACCATAATAACATTCTAGTAACGATCTCCAACGACTGTTCTGAACACAACTGACTATATAACTTGTTCCTGGAATCAACCGCTTACACACAACCACACGCATATAAATTCCCTCTGTATATTTGCGCTTCATGTGCTTGGCAATTTGTTTTGATACTGACACTAACATCAGCAGAATGGCGCAAAGCAAGTGTCCTTGAACCATGTACATGCCGAGCATTCATTGCTTTGTACGTCACATGAATATTCTATGACATGACAGTGCGTTTATTGGGTAAAGATATTTGGGCAATATGTAGCTTGCCGACACTGAATTCCTGATCTGGAAATGATGAAAAATATAACAAAATACCTTTGGGAAGAAAGCGGTGGTTTAGCATAGCAACCCGGTCGTACATTTGATAAAAGACGCAGAAATTTTAATCTACAGATATTTCTCTTTCTGGACAGGATCATTAGATTGTCAAGCATAATCAGGCAATGTCCCGAGTAAGAACCCAGAAAAATATGTAAGTACCATATAACGAGAGAAGTAGAAATATAAAATCAAAAGACATAATAATCTTTTGAAATAATATTACCCTGGGAAAAAATCTCCCGATACAAACCTCATCGCTATGCTGCATATGTTTTGTTTTTTTTCGTTATGCACGATGATGGAACCTTGCTCATATCATTTTACTTCTTTTATTAATGACGTACGAATGTAGGAGCTCATGGTATGCCAGTTTATTTCTTTTTGTTGCAAAGACCATTATTTTTTTTTTTTTTCAGAACTGCCGAATATGTAATGTTGGACGTGGGGGGGGGGGGTAAAAATAAAATAGTGCAAATAAGTTTTATTTTTATTTTCTTTCGCCAGGAATTATTTTCGCGCTTTCCCATGATCAATTATCGGCGGGTCCGCTATGTACGAAAAAAAATGGTGTGGTTACGTCTCGTGTGTCTGTCTTCACTTCATCTACTTTATTTTGTGTTTTACTAACATTAAGTACATTTAATGATGTTTGGTATTTTACGGCCGTTTCGTCTCGATTCGAGCTTGCGAAAGGAAAATTGGTACTTTGAACATAAAGTTCATTTTATTTATTTCTGCTTCTTCTTCTTGATTTGTGCTTCGGTCCTCTTCTTGATTGAATATTATTGAGTCTTCATAAGGGAGAAACATCTAATATATGGCGGCTTGATAATCAGGTATGTTTTTCTTGTCGATTACCCAGGTACCTGTTCAATTCGTGTCTATTTTCGTGATCTATTCCATGCAATTCTTCCTTATACATATATATCTTAGTTTTCAATTTTCAAGTTAATTTATGGCAGCGTATGATTATGCATTTATTATTCGTTATATCCCATGAGAGTAACTGTCAATCCAAAAGAAATTCGAGCTAAGGAATTAAAGGCCTTTTTATAGCATCCTGAAACCCCTACTACGTTTATACATTGTCAGGTGTTGCTTCGTGGTTGCTTCTGATGAACACGATATCATCGAATTTTGTACTGACTTAAGTTATTTTTCTTAATCTCATATAATAGAGCGTATAGAAAAACTAATAAGCTTGTATACTTTTTATTATTAATGGCAAAACACCGTGGAAGCTTCAAATTAAATTAAAAATAGTACCCGACTACTCTCCAACTCATATTGTTTATACCATACGCGGCGGAAGCAGGGGGAGCAGAGGGGCGAGCGCTCCCCCCCCCCCCCGCATTTTCACATTCGTCCCCCCCAGTCATAGACTCGCTCCGCCGACTGTGGTTTATACAAACCACCCTTCGCTATGTAAGGCTGTGGAAACTTTCAAATGAATTTCTCTGATTCGGACAAGACATTTGTAAGGTTTTCTATCGAGGGGAAGCCCGAAATATCATCCACACAAGCGGAGGATGCGGCTTAGGGCCGAAAGAAGGAGAGGTTGGGAGGGGCCCGTTCACTTCCCTGTGTGGAGACACTGTTCCATGCCCCAGGTACATATCCCTCAGAAAATGGGTCTGGCTGTGTTGTTCTTGACATGAATAAAAATAAAGTAAAAAAAAAATAATAATAATAATAAAAATAAAATAAAATAAAATAAAATAATAAAAAAATAAAAATATAAATACGATAAAAAAGGCTCGTTCTGAAGGAACGGATACATAAAATTACTTAAACTTGAAAAAAAGGGAATGGGGTATCTGGCTGGTGCTGGCCAATGTAAAATTTGGTAAACCCTGGGGTTAACATAAATGCTCACGTCCAGCAATATCCTAACTGGCATGTAAAGATGGCTCAAACACAACCTTGTTCTTGCTGCTCCAGCGACGCCACAGTATAGGGTAATCCAGGGGGGTACACTCAAACACCGAGTCCAGAGACAACTCCCTTACGGGTTTATTTGCCAGGGTTTACATACAGGTTAGGCCACGTCACTGTGGCAACAGTTATTTAAAATAAATAAAAGTATAAATAATCAAGATTACCTTATGAAACCATAGAAAATATCAACAATAGACAAAAGTAAAAACATATAGCTACCAGGTGAAAAACCTACTAAAAATGAACATTAAAAAAATTAACAAAACGTTAAAACTACAGTAAGTAAATTAAATAAAACGATACATTTGTTTAGTAAAATAACATTCATTACACGGCAAAAGTCATCACTGATACATTCCACATCCCGAGTATCCCCTGCGAGCCTCCATTGATAAGTAAAAACCATAATTAAGGTGGTGACGTGGCAAATCTAGATATATAAAAATAATGAATCCGAAGTCATAAAACAATTATCGAAGATTAATAAAAGTGATTGATAATAAAACTGAAAATCTGAGTAAGTTTTAAAAGGATATAAAATCATAAAACGTAAAATGAAAATAGGAAAATAAAAGGGGGCGGGGGTTCGGCATTAAAATAAATAATAAAAACGTTTAAATCATTAAGAATTGAAAATATTTACAATTTTTTGCAAGCAGTTGATATTTTTTCAATTGATTTCAACTTTAAGCTCAGCACACACTTGCATTTTATTTTGTAACTCTTCATTTAGCCATATACGTAGTATTTAAAAGCTATTTTGTAATAAAACACATGTAAAAATGTTTTTTAGATGATACCGAAAGGTAGAACGTTTGTTGTTAGCCTCGCAAGAGTCAATAAAACGTAATACAAATAACACCAAAGGCATCATTGATAAATGGAGGATTGATAATCGTTTGGATTTCTTTACGTGGCTTACATTTAACTTCAAACTCGCAAGAGATTATGATTATTTTTCAATATGAAACAAAAACTTACATGAATAACAAATATACTACATGTGTATTTTGAGAACTATCAAAAGGCAGCTAGATTAATAAATACTGTCGAAGTACAGGGTCACACCCAGAGCAAAACATTCGCATTTGTATACACTTTGAAAGACAGCAAGTGATCATTTGAATAAAGTTTGTGTTCCATAGAGGTGATATTAATGATTTATGATAATAATGATAATGATAATCACAATAACAAAAGAAATAATAATAATGATTAAAAAATAGTAACAATACTTCTGTATAGCGATTGCAATAGATCAACAGGTCAAGCTACACAACCTTTTTATCCTTTTTAGCCTGTAAAGTTTTATCATAGAGATACATAATGATTTTAAAGATATTCATCCCACCGAAGTTAAGACGTCATATTAATCGGTCATTGGAAATTCTTGCCTTGTCATTCCAGCGACTGTCATGATTGACCAGATTTTACCAATGTAAAGTTAATATATTAGTGATGTACTGCTAAAAAGGCACAGAATGAAAATATAAATCTCAGCCTGAGACCACGAAATATATCTGAACATTATCGCGTTCTGATTGGCTGGCTGGAATGTATCATATTGAATCAAAATAGAGACATCAAACTGAAACAAAACATCCGTCAAAACATCCGTCTGCCTTAAAGAATGCCTTCGTAGATTCTTCAGTCCCTTTCATTCAGACTCACGAAGTGATGCATGCAGATATTTGAATATCAACTGACCACACTGTTTTGCTGTCTCTGGTTTAATGCGTTCTGTGCTGTACAAAATGTTGACGGCAAGACGACTACGAAAAGTGTGGACAAAATGACAGAAAGTAGCAGGAACAGTGTGTATGGCGGCAGACCTAAAGATATAAATTGGCTGTACATTTTGACTACCTTTCATTACCAAACGTGTTACGTCTCCCATGTTGGAGACAGTATAATCGAATTCAAAAACACCAGAGTACTCGGGTATGCATTTCTTAATTGCTTCTTCTTGTAATGCAGCATCTGTCGTAATCTTCTTTCTGAGTTCACAATTCGTCAGTCTTACGTAGTTCCAGATATTTTCGCGAGCGTTTCTGGGCGTTTCGACCGTCACAGGCACGAGTGGCATCACGTGACACCCCAGGTATTCACCACCAGAGTCTTCTCCCCAATACCTACGAGCATTGAAGACGTGGTCGCTGCGGATATTGTACGTGTCCTTCCCAAGCCCTCCATCTATTAGGAGGTCCATCATAGCTAGGTTAGCGATGGCCGTATAAGCTGAGTTGACTGTAACGCCTTCAGCACGACACCGCTGAAGGAAAGAAGCTGTGGTGTCATAGTCAAAATCTATGGTTTCGAAGCCCGTTGTAAGTGTCGTGTCTTCATTTTTCTTGTAAGTCGATTTGAAGAGTGACTTCTGCTGCCAAGCTTGAAACTCCTTTATTTGACGGAATAGAAGTTCGGAGTTAGCCCGCAGTGTTTCTACTTTCTTATTTATTATCGCATCTGTCTTCTCAGGTGACACGAAGACTGCAAGCTGTTCATCACTGATGGGTCTTCCTGCAATCACGTCATCGAGGACTTGGACGAGGAAGCCGCAGATCATCATATTGGTGGTTCCGTCGGTGATAACGTGATGGATTCCAATAAACACAGTGTATACGTGAGGATACTCTTGCACGCTGTCACCACCCACACTTCCTCGTAATAGTTTGACGCACCACAGAGGACCGTTCATATCAAAGCTGTACCGATGCAGTTCTTTGTGTACATCTTCTCTTGTAACATTTTCAATCACCTAAATAAAAAGAAATATAATTAGCATCTCTGATAAAAGGTTGGTCATGTATACACTCTGATACCGTAGCGTAAATACTCGTATCATTAAAAAATTCATTAAATATGTGATGTTATCCGTCAGATGTGACAAAAATACTTTTGTATAGTAATAAATCATTATTATCCCGTAATGATACAGAATGAATACGAATTCAGACACAAACTAAATTCGGAAGAGAGGCACACTTAACGACACAGGGCAAGCAAAACAAACGGGAAATAAAACTGAACACGTACAT